TGAACATATTCTCTCTTTATTTTCTCAGCTCCTGGTCTGTATCCAGTCACTACATGTAGACTCAGTTCGGCACATCAAGGTAGGTGACGGACAGACCAGAAAGACGGCTCCAGCCTGTCTCCAAAGGTTTTCGAGCTGAATTTCAATCCGAGCGTGTGTGTTGATTGGGAGAATCAACGTGAGAAATGTTTTCACGTTATCAGATGAAAGGTGTCGGCGAACACACATCGCATTGCTCTCCCCAGCACTAATAAAACAGTTCAACAGGTGGCGCTCTTCCATCAGAATGGATGCCCTTGCAGAGTCAGTGGGCCCACCGCTGCAGGCGTGCTGACCTAAAACCAAGGCTCTTGCGCGTTAGAGGCCTTGTGGCATGTGTTACAGGGGGTGTGAACCATAGTGCCCCAACCAAACGCCAACCTAAGCAATTGTTGGCCTGCTGCCTGGACTGTGAGTGCTGATCTCAGGCAGACCAGCAGCTAGGGTTGCCAGATGGTTTAACAAAAAATACCGAACACTCCCCTTCCTTCCCTCCCCCCCCCCCCCAAAAAAAAAAAACCCCAGAAAAAAAAAAAGGGGGGGAGAAAAATTTGTTAACAAAAAAAAAAAAAAAAAAGGTGCCATGACTTTAAATGGCCCTGCGCTCCTCACTTCACTGCCCCCTGCCACCCACAGCAGGAGAGAACTATCCACTCCAGGTTTCCGCCTAAGGGAAACAGGAACTACTGGACATTTCACATGTCCGGTATTTTCTGTTTTTTTTACCGGACAGGGGACCCAAATAATGAACACTCTGTGTGAAAACTGGACACTTGGCAATCCTACCAGCAACACCAGAGTGGACACTCCTAACTGGTGGTGTGTTCTAAACAGGGATGCCAGAACAGTCCAGGGCCTCGAATGATGGAAGGGAGGAAGAGAAGAGGAGTGGGGTTTGGGGAGGGAAGGGTGGCACAGGAGGCGGGGCCACAATTTGGGAGTAGGTGGTCCCCCCACTTTTAGGGAACTTCTGGGGGAAAAAAGGCATTTTAGAAGTGCACTTCACCAAGCTGGTAATACCCTTGATCACCGTACCACCCTTACCACAGAGTGACAGACAGTCCCCTTAGGTACATCTCCATTTTGCCAGCCCCTGGTCTATCTCATAGAGCTGGAAGGAACCTTGAGAGGTCATCAAGTCCAGCTCCCTGCCCTTGTGGCAAGTACCATCCCTGACCAGGGGCAGCCCAGGAGCTTAGGCAAACTAGGCAGTTGCCTAGGGCACTGCCGGCCTGGGCACCCAATGATGATGACATCACAGGGCACCCCGTGATTACATCACAGCCCTTGATGGCCAGACAGGCCGGGGAACCAATCATTGCCTCAGGCTGTTCCTTTCCCTGACAGATTTGCCTCAGATCACTAAATGGCCCCCGCAAGGATTCAACTCACAGCCTTAGATTTAGGCAGGCTGATGCTCAAACCACTGAGCTATCCCTCCCACCAAACCAGCACCTCTGGCCTGTCACCGTTTCCCAGCCCAGCAGGCGCTTCAGGCAGGCTCCTTGCCTGCCCCACCTCTGCACAAAGCTCAAAGCGGCCAGCTGCAGGAGCCACGTGCTCTCTGCACCCCACGTGCCCCTGGGGAGGGATTAATGTGCTGTCCTAGCTCCCAGCACAATCTCGCAGCCCGTGGGCCAGAAATCAGCCAATGGGAGCTACCTGGGCTGTGCTTGTGGCACAGACAGCACACGGAAGGCCCCCCGTCGAGGGGGCACGACACGCAGAGAGCACATGGCTCCCACAGCCGGCCGATTTGAGTGGCGTGCAGGAGAGGGGCAAGCAGGAAGACTGCCTGAGGGTTCTGCTGGCTGGGAGCCACTTAAGGTAAGCACCTCCTAGCAAGTGCCTCCAACTGGCATCCCCCTCCTACAGGAGAGACTCCTCTCCTGCACCCATATTCCTTCCCAGACCCTGCACTGCCTCTCACGCTCCACTCTGTCACATCTCTCCTGCCCTAGGCAACAACCCAACCCCCGGACACCCTGCTGCACCCAGGCCCCAGATCATAAGCCGTTTTGAGCTCCTTCTACATCCCTCCTCCAGGTCAAAATCCTCTCCCGCTCCCATACTTCTTCCCAGATCCTGCACCACAATCAACTGCCCCAGGTCATAACCAGTGTTCCCTGTAAGCTGTGCGCTTGGGTGGCCATCCAGGAGAGATTCAGTTGCTGTTCAGCTGATTAGCAGGGCGCCCATAGCCAGGAGCATATGCTTTTTCTACTGGTGGTACACATCTGCACATGCGTCAGTGTATATAACAAAATGTATTCTGCACATGGATGGAGGAAACTAGATGGAACGTGGAGTGAAGGAGTGGGCTGTGACCCAACTCCCTCCCAGACCCCACATTCCCTCCTGCACCCCAATCGCCTACCCCAAGCTCCCTTCTGCACCCCACCTCTTTCCCAAACCCACTTACTAAATTCTCACAGTGGCCTCCCATAAAAAATGATTGCCCACACTGCCTTCGACTCTGCAGTCTGTCATGCTAGCCAGACAAACTGGATTTTGTGATACACGATCCCTTACACCAAAAAACACACTATATTCAGGTTGCTTCCAGTCACAAGAGACTAGTCACCTTCCCTCAGATCAATTAGTGCTATATCTCACACCAAAGACAGAGCCTGTAGCCAGTACTGTAATAACCTAGCTAAAGGTTTATGAACTAGGAAAAGGAATGGAGAGTTATTAATGGGTTAAAGCAAGCAAACTTAGCAACACAAATAGATTTCCATCAAAATCCTAAGAGTGATAGAGTTGTAGTGATAAACTTAAAAAATAACAAATAGTCTGGTAGCACTTTAAAGACTAACAAAATATGTATCATGATTGTATCATGAGCTTTTGTAGGCACAACCTACTTCTTCAGATGACCAGAGTGTTGCCAGGTGTCCAGTATTGACCCGGACAGTCCGATATTTTTGCCTCCTGTCTGGTAAAAAAATTCAGAAAATATGGGACACCTAAAATGTCCAGTATTTTCTGATATTTTTCCCAGCCAGGAGGTGAAAATATTGGACACCTGGCAACCCTACACACACTCAGCAACTAGGTCCGGAGCCCGGACCCCCTGCTTACCTGATTCTGCAGGGAAGATGCATTCTGGCTCCATGAAGAAAACAAAATGGCCACCAGCAAAAAGCCTAAAGAACTGAAGCCTTCCCTGGGTCTTAGTGCTCAACTTCTCCCCTCTTGCTATCCCTATTTTGACTCTGCAGGCACTTAAAGCTGTTTTAATGCTGGTTTGTTTTTGGATTTTTTTGCTCAACAACTCTGGTCTTCCCCTTTTTTTCCCCTCCACATACTTCTTTCCCCAGTGAGCTTTTTTTTTAGAGGGGAGAGTGTTCAGTATTTTTGCATTAACCATCTGGCAACCCTACCAGAATGTCGGATGTCCAGAACTAAAATAAATAGGGGAAGAAGGGAGGGGGAAACAAGAAGAGGTAGTGGGTTTAAAAATATCAAGGGGAAAGCTGAGCTGGAATGTAACAGGAAAAACACATAATCTATAAGTATCAGTTAATTCCAAGTGTATTTCAGGGCAGACTCAGGAGACTACCCCGGGGGATTCCTAGTTTCAGCTGAAAGTCTCTGATCCTTCTGAGTGCAAACAGCCCAAAAGATGGAAAACTTCTCTATAGCTTTGTTTCGTTTCCCTCATTCAGCTTTCAAGCCAAAAGTATCGGTTTCCTTGCACATAGCATGTCCCGGGTAGATAGGGCCAGTTATCGGTTCTTTGTATTGCCGTGATTCTTGATGACCCATCTGACTTTGTCTTTTTTGACGGGCAGTGGGAATGGTTCCCATACTTGAGTTCACAAGTTCAGGGCAAACCTTTATAAAGTTATAAAGCACAACAGATGTATTCTCGTGCAGCCTGGAACACAGACAATAGAAGTGAGGATTAATTCAGGCCACGGTTTACTTATCATTAGATTTTTTTTTTAAACACAAAATACATTCTTGTGAGACGAATACCTGTTTTGAGCAAAACTAACATACAGGTGACCTGGTCTGGTCTCCAACTATGAGACTGTCAGTTCTTATTTGAGGCCTGTACCTTGGATAAGGACTGGTGTCTGGCCTGCCAGCATCAATTACATTGTGTCCAGCTAACCTCCCCTTTCAATTTCAATTGACTATTCTGTTCTATCAGGCCTGTGCCTTGCTTGGATCCGGCCCCCGAGGCTCGGAGCTCCCCGCCAGCATTGGGGCTGGAGCACACACAATCTACTAGCCCGGCCCCCCCAGACAGTGGTGTGCAAGGGGAATGTGGGGAATGTCTTTCTGTTTCCCAATCAGAGGCCATGTCAATGTGTGGCCCCCGACTGATTCTTCTGTGGGTCAGTCACTCTCAAAAGAAAAAAAAAAAAAAGTAAAAAACAACAAATAGTCTGGCAGCATCTTAGGGTATGTCTAGATTACATGCCTCTGCCGACAGAGGCATGTAAAATAGGCTACCCAACATAGTCAATGAAGCGGGGATTTAAATATCCCCGGCTTCATTAAAATAAAAATGGCCTTTGCGCTGTGCCGGCTCAGCTGATTGTCAGCGGAGCGTGGCAGTCAAGATGCGGATTGTTACCCGCTCCCTTATGCCTCGTTGAACAAGGTTTAGAGGAGCGGTCAGCAAAGGCTTCCCCTGTCGACCAATCTGCGTCTTGACTGCCGTGCTGTGCCGACAATCAGTTGAGCCGGCACAGCGCAGCGGCCATTTTCATTTTAATGAAGCCGGGGATATTTAAATCCCCGCTTCATTGACTATGTTGGGTAGCCTATTTTACATGCCTCTGTCAGCGGAGGCATGTAGTCTAGACATACTCTTAGAGCAGTGTTTCCCAAATGGTGTTCCGTGGAACCCCGGGGTTTCACAAAGTGAAAATAAGGGTTCTGTGAGAAAATTCCATTACAACAACATTTTATGATTAAAAAATAGTAATTAATATTTATTAATGTTATTTTTGTTTTTAAATTCATGCCATTAAACTAAATGTTAATCTCATGATCTTGTTTAGCATGTGTTTATTATTATCCTTACTTATTTGTGGTCTACTTTTTCAGCTCCGTAGATAAGACTGTTATTAGGGGTTCCGCAAAATTCTTTCAAATTTAAAAGGGTTCCGTGACCAAATAAAATTGGAAAACACTGCCTTAGAGACTAACAAAACATGTAGATGGTATCATGAGCTTTTGTGGGTACAACCCACTTCTTCAGATGACACAGAAGCAGAAAAAATGTTCCCCATTCCTGCCTTAATGTCTAAAAACCTTCAGCAGTGCATGAATCAATGGGACTAACATCTACCGTGATTCATTCTTCATTGAATATGGGTTTCTTCTTTAATACTCAGCGGAAAGTATTAGTACTGTTGCTGTGCAGCGTTTAACAGCAGCTGCATTCACTGGTGTCTGTGTTGTAGGGATGGAAGGATTGTAAAAGGTATGCCAGCTGGTAAAATAACTGAAAATCCATCAGGGTGAAGGGTGCGGTATAAATGCAAGATGAAACATTGATATTCTTTTTGTGGCTGTTAAAATTAATATAAACTCACCCACGATCAATTTTTTTTCTCTTTGTAGGTTCTGATCTGATGAAGAACTGCGCAGTAAGTATGAAATTGACCCCCTCCCCCGCCCCCAGTCACTCCTGTTATCCCTCAGAGGGGTAAAATAATGAGTGGTCTGCATGCAGAGCAGGCAGGATCTATTTTTTTAAAAGGTCTCATGTTACAAAATTCATTCATTCATTTAGGTACGTTTAAACCATCAGTTATAACATTCTCAGGCTAGGTCTACCCTACAGGCCTGTATCGATGGAAAAAAATCCACACCCTGACTGAACTTTATACCAACCTAACTCTCCCTGTAGCATAGACAGTGCTCCATCTATGGGAGAGTTTCTCTCACTGCCACAGCTACCGCCTCTCATGGAGGTGGATTAACTACGTGGACAGGAAAAGCTCACCCATTGGTGTAGTAGCATTTTGACCAAGGTGCTACAGCGACACAGCTAAGAACATAAGATTGGCCATATTGGGTCAGACCAAAGGTCCATCTAGCCCAGTATCCTGTCTGCCGACAGTGGCCTATACCAGATGTCCCAGAGGAAGGGAACACAACAGGTAATCCTCACATGATTCCTCCCCTGTCACCCATTTCCAGACAATGTTACACTGATGCCGCATTTTAAGTATAGACCTACCCTTCAGTTTACTCCTTTGCACTGTAACCTCTGAGGTAGATGCACATGGGGGACATACCATCACTTGTTCTTTTTATATCTTGGGCCTGATCTTGGAATCCTGACACTGGCAAAATTCCCATTGAAGTTATGCAGTGAACAGGAGTTTTGCTTTCATGAGGGGTGCAGGGTTCAATCTGTTGCCCTTAGCTTGTGCCAGGCACCAGAATCACAGCTGCCAACCTGCCTGATAGTTTGGGAGCAGTTTGGATATGAACTTTGCAGCTTTGTCCTGTCCCCCACAATGAAGTCATTGGCGTTAAACCTCCTCTTTCACTTGCCCCTCTTGTGCACCCTTCCCTTCTCTGCAGGTGTGGCCAAGAGCACTTGTCTTGGGTGTGAGAGCTATTGTTTGCCTGGGTGTGATAGACCTGGTGTAACAATACAGACTGATGGGTGTAACAATGCAAATCTGTAACAATACAGATACATACAATATAGTATTACCCTCTGGAAACAATTACCTCTATCCTCAGGGTGGGGATATTGCCAGTTAATACAAAACAATAGTAAAGACAAAGTAAGAATATCCTGGACTGGAAATGAGCAAGTCAAACATCAATAAACACAGTAACATTAGAATGTAAATCACCAGGGTTAGCCTTGGTGGGCAGCAGCAGCTATATTTTTCTGTGCTCCTGCAGGTACGAGTGATCGTAGCTCCCATTGGCTGGGAACGATGCTCTACGGCCAATGGGAGCTGTGATTCCCTGTACCTGCAGAGATGCTGGTAAATATGGTGATGTGGGAACCCACCGAGGCTAACCCTGGCAGATCGGATCTGACCCATGGGCCAGTATTTGCCCACCCCTGGTGTAGATGCTGCTGTCAATTGTCATGGCTCCATTGAAGTCAATGTCTTTTGTTTTAAATGTATTTGTTTGTAATCTCTGAAGCCTATAGGTATGGCCTGCTATTGATCTAGGTCTTTAAACCACGTTCTTTATTTTTAATAGCATTTCATTTCATCTGTCCATTTCTTTTAAATCCCCGATTGTAAAGGAACCTGCTTTTACAAACGTCACCATCATTTTCATATTTCATGGCCCATTTCTGCCTATCTTACTTTCATAGAAAATGAGTCAGATGCACATGAAGTGCTGGGAACTTCACACTTGAACCCCTTTGCGTTGCTTTTGCTGATCTAATCATGTGAAAATGGCAGCCCACCTAGGAACCATCAGCAGAATTTGGCTTTGTGACCAGCGCTGCGGCTTTGGTTAATTGGATTATAGCTTTACATAACTTATCATTAACCCCAGGGTGGAGGGGAGGGGGGGCGCTCTTCTGAGACAGAATTGCAGTGACTCTGTGTTGAAATTACAGTTCAAGCCATGTTGAAACACCCGTTCAGATCTTGCACTTGCTTGACCCTCCACCAGAGGGCAAGAACTCCTTGCAAGAAATTAGATGTATGTGCATTTGATTCCTTTGACATTCATTGCCCCTTGATCACCGGCCATACAACATCATGCAGTACTATTTGCATTGCTCAGTACTAAATACAGAGCAAGAATGGTTTTAACACCTGCCCAATTCTGCCTGCCTGCATTTGTTAAACCAAAGTTCTCCCTGGGAGTTCTGTTTGTTGCACGTACAACATGCCCCTACTGCTTTGCTCATTGTACATGCCACTGCGAAAGTCTAGCTACCTCCAGGATACAGCAACCACTGGTGCACAGCATGCAGTACCGCCAGTGGGGAGAGGACAGTCTTGGCCATGGATGCTACTTGTATGAAAATGCCATAGGACCATGTAGAGCAGCAACAATGGTATGCTTAGAGTAAAGGTCCGGAGCGCGGTTGCCAATGACCACACAGGACAGTATCAAGTAGCTCCCCAGGATTCTTACTGACCTGTGTTTATAAGTGAACACATATAAAATTGACTGTGTGTGTGTGTGTGTGTGTGTGTGTGTTCACTTTTTTTGATTGTATCCCTTTGGTATATATGGTCATCATGCCAATTTTCTTCCACAATTTGATCAGAGGAAGTGGGTCTGGCCCACGAAAGCTCATCACCTAATAAACCATCTTGTTAGTCTTTAAAGTGCTGCATAGTCCTGTCTTTTGTTTCAGCAAGACCAGACTAACACGGCTACATGTCTAATAGTAGACACCTCTGTGCATCATTAGTCACTTATGTATCTTTGTAAATCAGGCCCTAAGGGACTTAGGTGCCTAATTCAAAGGAACTTAAGCTCTGAAGTTACTTGGGTCTTTTTGAAAGTTTTACCTACAGTGCTGGAAAATATCTGGTAAATATGACTTATTCTCAGTGATTTGGAGGGACATGGGTGCTTCCAAAACTGTTGTGCTACCTCCTTGTGTGTCCCGTTGTGTAAGCTGTAAGTTCACTGCCCTGTGCATCTCCCCTCTTTCTGTCAACAGAAAAGGTTCAGTATGCTGAAAGCTGACAAAGAGTCAGAAGAGAGGGCAGAAGAGAGGGTGTTAATAAACAGAACCCCTGTGGTAGAAACCAACAACAACTTGGTCTCCCGCACAGAAAAAAATCCCAGTCCTGACTCAAGTCTGACTGACCTGATCCAGAGCACAGGGAACACCACAGACCACCCTGCTGATTCCCGCGTGAGAGACCACACTAATAACCGAATCGGTGAGTCTCGGGTGCATTCGTAGAATAGTGGGAGCGGTTTCTGTTAGATGTTCAGCTGCATGTGTGGGGTTTTTTTCTTTTACCTGTGTGCTGTCCCAGCTCTGTGTAGACAGAGGACACAGCGTACCTTGAGCAAACTGCCCAGTGAGACCACAAGACTTGGTTTAGTAGCAAGTTAGTCTATAGTTTGAGAGCTGGCCAACTCAAGTTATTGTTGGCTATTTCCCATCGGCTTGTCTAACCACAGGCTTGCAGCAGTGCTGCAAAGGTGGAGTTGTCTTGGCACGCTGTGTGAGACTCCTACTAAACAGAAGGCAGGAAAAGAGAGGGGCAGACAGTGGGGAGAGAGGAAAGAGGAGGAAAAGGTGATAGAATGAAAATGAACTCTGAGGAGGTGGGTAACAGGAGGAACTCAAAGGCTTACAACCCAGATGGCGATCAGAGCCGGTGTACGGAGGTGGCCAGATCAGACCCAAAGGCTTACAACCCAGATGGCGATCAGGATTGGGCCGGTGGACAGAGGTGGCCAGATCAGACTGCCTGATCCCCACTCTGGCCTGGCCTGCATGCCTTTTAGGATCAGAATAACAAAGATCCAGTGGGGATTCTAGCATCAGAGGAGGCGGCCATGATGGTAAAGCTCTCTCCTTTGAGTCCACCCATCCCACTACTCCCAGCGGATGAGTGGACCCCCATATAAACAAAACTCAAGAGAGTGTGGCAGCCCGATCTCATTAACATGAACCAATCAAAGGGCACTCGGTTGATTTCAACCACAACAATTTCTTTCCATTTCTAGAATCTTTCAGCTAGTTGCCATGCCAACCTGTGACTTTATTAGGGGGCTTAAGGAACCTCTATCATAATTCTTTTACCTTAATCCAGGGGTGGGAAAACTCCAGTCCGGGGGTCAGATGCAGCCCCCAGCCTACGAAGTTTGGGGCTCCCCCCTAGCATTGAGGAGCCTGCGTTGTGTCCCTAGGGGGCTGGAGCACACAACATGTACTAGGCTGCCCACCCCCCATTTCTGATGTGTGAGGAGAATGTGGAGAATGCCCTTCTCAGTCCGGGGCCACCTCACGTGTGTGGACAATTTTGTAACGAACCGAGTCACAAATCCCAGGGTAGGGGGAGAGAAGGCTGCTTGGGAAGATGAGTGGGCAGCTCCAGGGGATGTATTTCCATGAGTTCCCAGGCCTTTCCCATCTTCCCCCCAACTCCCTGTGCTGCTCTCTCTCTCCTTGCCGACTGCCTGCAAAGAAAGAGCCGGTATGTACTGGGCTGTGTCTGCTAGCTGAAGTGGCCATCTGGGGCAAAGGCAGCATTCCTTCCTGCTCCATGTAAAATGGGCCCCACGTTTATTTGTATAATTAACTAACATCTTTTTAAAGTTTTCATTTACTGTCAGTTGCATGACTTGGGCGACAAACATTTCCTTGAATGATCAACTTAGAGCACAGGCAGGCAGCACAGAACCCTGACCCGGAGAGGCTGCTGCCAAAGAAAACTGCTTAAAGCAAAATCAAGAGCTGAGGCAGAGCAAAGGGGAAAATGAGCAAAAGGTCATTTCCTGTGCAGCTGGGTGCACGCCCTGGGTTGGATTAAGCAATACAGTGGGCGAAGATTTAATAACTGCAGACAATATTTATTGTGACTCTTCTCTGGCCTGGCAAACTATTTTTTAAAGTCACGATAATAATTTTCCCGGTGAGATGATTCACCGGCAGTTTCTGCAAGGGTGAGGCAGGACAGCAAGATGCTTGAGGCAGGAGAGGGACTCCTCCCTTCTCCAGAAAATCTTGAGTGATGGTCCAGATCTTCTGTCTGCTGGTATAAATTGGCAGAACTCCGCCATCCCTAAGCAAATTTACCTCAGCTGAGATCTGGTCTGTATCTGAAGGAAGGACAAATCACCATTTGAATTTGTTCTCAACTCCAGAGAGAGAGAATGATGCAGAATAGATTTGAAAACTGATATTATGAAATGTTTTGGTGTGAGAGTGTCTCTATTTGTTTAAGCATGTGTAATAAAAAAGAATCTTTATTAGTGACGGGTATCATTTCAAAGCCTGGTTGTCAGATAATATGCAAAGTGAGGAGATGTGGGGTGTGGCAGATTCTGGGAGGGATGTAACCCATGCTGTCTTCATGCCTGGTGCAAATGCTGAGAAACATTTTTCAGTGGCATTGATTAGAGGGCACATTGTGGTCATGGCAGTGAGGTTTTTGGAACAGAGGCCTCTGCACCATGTTCCACCAGGAAAAGCTATTGTTGAAATGCAGGCCTGGTTTATGTTACAGTTTTCAAACTGTTTGCCTGGATAGCATCCTTTTAGTGTTCTGCAAACAATTCTGAATTAATATTCCCAAGAGAACTTGGCCATCTGGCCTATTTTACAGAACTCACTTATTCCAGTAGCGTGTGGGGGCCAAGTCATGTTACAGTATTCTATGGAAATCAGCTCCCAGTCTGGGCTAACTCGTGTCATTAGTGCTGATCCTTCAGGATTAAGTGTCTTTCATAGGTCCTGCTAGGGTTGCCAGATGGTTTAACCAAAAATACCGAACACCCCCTTCCCCCCCAAAAAAAACCCACCAGGGAAAAAATTCTGTTGAGGAAAAAAAAGGGCGGGGAGTCAATACCGGACACTTGGCAACCCTAGGTCCTGCAAATGCACCAGGACCCTCTTACCTTGTGAGTGATGGACTTGTAACAATAATGATGTGTAAGTCTGTAAAGCCTGTCATTCTCAGGTACCCCACACCCATCACACCATGACCTCCGGCAGGGAGTATGGGCCATTAAAATCCTAAGGAAGACCTTGAATTACCTTTGTCATCAGGGTCAGGTTGAATGTGTTGTACACCAGTATTCCCTGTAAGCTGAGTGCTTGGGTAACCACTCAGGAGAGACTCAAATGCTGCCCAGCTGATTAGCAGAATGCCCACAGCTGGCAGAATGTGTTTTTTAACTTGTGGTGCACATTCACACATGCCACAAAATTTATTCTGCGTGTGGATGGAAAATATTAGGGGGAACATCGTTGGATTCTCTGTTCATGACCTACACATCTGTCCTAAAATACCCTGTCTGATGTAGCTGCTTCTGCATTGCCGGACCCCTGAAACCCAGTCCCATGAAAGTCCTAAAAACCCAGCTCTGTTACCCCTCAGGTTATAGCTGAGTTTCCTGTCCATTGAAAACTTTGCTCAAAGGCAGCCAAAAGGCAATGCATCACTGTAGATTAAAGCAAAAAACACATAGGCTATGTCTACACTTGTGGCTTCGTGTGCAAGTATGGCCGTTCTTGCACAAGAATCCGCAGAGCATCCACACTGCCCGCCTGCTCTTGCGCAAGGAAATTTACATTCCGGTGTGGTTAGAGAGGGCTTCTTGCGCAAGAGCTATGCTCTTTTTTAACAGGTGTAAGCCCTCTTGCGCAGGAGCTCTTGCGCAAGAGGGCAGTGTGGACACTTGGCAGGGATTTCTTGCACAAGAAAGCCCTATGGCTAAAATGGCCATCAGAGCTTTCTTGCGCAAGAGAGCATCTACACTGCCATGGGCGCTCTTGCACAAAAGCACAGCTCGCACATGGCAGCATGGACGTTTTCTTGCGCAAGACTTCTTGCACAAGAACCCTTGCGCAAGATGCTCCCAGTGTAGACATAGCCATAGAGTGTACGCCTTGGGGTTGTAAAAGACTCCTGCATGCTGGTAATTGGCTTTATTAATTTCTCTGGCCCTTTGCAGAAGAGCTCTTTTCAATGTAAAGCAGCAAACCCATCTTCCTTTCTGTTAGAGAAGAACTTGAAGAACAGTTTACGTTGCTGGGGGAAGGGAAAGGCGGTCAGTAACCACAGATGAGACTGGAGGAGAAGTGAACAAAGGGACCCTATTGCTCTATATGGTCCAATGTTTTTTTAATTGTTATTGTATAAAATGTGCAGGGCTCTCTCTTGAATCCTCCTCTCTTTCATTCACTGTCTTTCTCTTTGGATCACTGTGTTGCATACTTAGATTCCAAATGGAAGGTGCCTTATGACTATCCAATACTTACTATTCATAACTAGAGGGACATATTCCAAAGACCAGCACAGCTGTAACTATTATAGAGAGATGATAGGCTAGATCTGCACAGCTCTGAATTTTGGGAAATCTCAGCTATGTATCTAAGCTTTTCCACAAAGGGAACTTTCTCTGGCCAGAATCAGAAAGAAGTTGTTATTGCTCAGGACTGATTCCTATCTGCTTCTTCCCACAGATAAAATATACATCATGAAAGCCGACACTGTGATTGTGGGATCCATTTCAGAAGTGCCTGTCAGCAAGAATTGTGCTATTAGAGGATGTGACTATGATGCCGAAGCCCAAGAGAACCTGGAGGATAAAGAACTTGCAATACACTATCCGCAGCAGGAGACTGAATCCTTTCCAGGAAGTGATGTAACGATTCCGGTGGAGGAGGAGGGCAAGGAATTCCATCACCCTACCACGGCCACTGAGAAGTGATGCGTTGCAGAGCTGATGTTGAAGCCTAATGCTTGTACTAATGATCCCCAGTACATTTGGAAGCCATTAATACCTTGTTGTCTCAGATGGTGGAAGGATGGTTGGGGGTCTTAGTAGCCCTTTGATGCCTGGTGTCCTAGAATTGATTTAATCTAGGAAACGAAGAGAATTGCCAGTAGTGACAAGAAGTCTTTACACTTTTATGGATCTCATTAAATATTTCTCTCTTCTTTCTCCGAACATGAAGTTACAGATGGGACTGAATCAAAAGCCCAGGTCCGAACACTCCATAATTCTGCAGACTTTTGGATCTTGCTCCAAACCCTGCCACTGCACCTACCTTCATAACTGAATGGATTAAAATCTATTTCCAAGCAGCTCCATTGTGAACATTCAAATCAGGACCCAAAGCCTGAAGATTGGGCCCCACCTCTAAGTCATCTCTCTGTAGTTGTGTTGTTACTTCCTACTTCGTTGTTGTCAACTCTTGGGATTGTATTGCTATTCCCACAACACTATGTTTTTTCTGAAAGTTCCAGCTCCTGGAGTCATGTGATCACACACAAATCTCAGCTTTTTTTTTTTTTTTTTTTAAATAAAAATTACTGGTCCTGATGGTTGTAGAGAAAAGCTTGGAAACGTGACCCACTTGTGCCCTCAAGATTCAGAAACTAAAGTGCAAATAAAACAACCCAACATTTATTCCTGAGTTTTAAGACAATCTCATGAATACTTTGAAGCTGGAATCAAAGATGACTTCCATGATTAACTTTTTTTTTAATGGTATGATATGGAAAACTGAAAAAGTAAATGACTTACACCTTGTATATATTTCTAATGCTGCATGCTTCACAGGCTCTTCAATGCAATTAAGAAGTTTTATGACCCGTCAAAGCTGCAAGGTCAGACAATACAAAACCAGGCACTACTAGATACACATAACATGCTAGCACTCATATAGGTGAAGGCATACATGAATAGGAAGGAGGGGAGTTGGAACGGAGGTCTGGCATTCTTTGAGACTTCTCTATATCTGATTTATCCAAATGTATCTAGAAAAGAGGACCATATTTCTTTGAATTCACAGACTCAAGAGTTTTGATTTTTGGGATTGGCAGTGCTGCTATATAATGGCCTCCTCCAGTAAAAGATGAAAGGTTTTGAATGTTTAGATGTTGTACAGAAAATGAATTTTGCTTTGGAGTCTGAATTAAACAAATCACAAATATCCGGTGAATGTGGATATGGTTTTATAAGGAAAACAACAGAAATGAACTGATTTTTTTCCAAAGGGAAACAAGGATTTTTTTTTAAAGGCTACATTACTCGTTTCCTAAAAGCATGTTAATTTCTGCTACTTTTGGAAGAAGTGCACATGATAATCTAGGAAGCGCTTATTTACATATATTTTTTTTTAAATCTGGTTTTTGTGGTCAAATTATGCAAGATGCTAACTTCTCATGCTGCTAATTCTATAACTGTAAATTGAACACATCCGTGCTGACTGCGCTTTCTCACAATTATGGAAAATGAGCTACATTACAAAGTCTTTCTTAATAGGTTTAAAAAAAAGAGGAACCACCTGCTTAGTCATTTTTATATTGGATAGAATATAGTGATGGATAATTTTGCTTCTCTAGTGCATTCATAAGAACAGTCATCCTGCATTAGACTAATAATCCAACTATTCCAGTATCCTGTCTCTGAGAATGCCAGTGCCAGACGCTTCAGAGGGGATGAACAGGATAATTTCAAATAATTCATCCCCTGTTATCCAGTCCCATCTTATGGAAGTTGGAGGTTTAGGGACACCAAGAACATGGGGTTGGCATCCCTGACCATCTTGACTGATGTCTTGTCTACACTATCCATTCCCCTTCCATCGATCTAATCTATGCAACTTCAGCTATGCAAATAGTGTATCTGAAGTTAGATGTACTTACCGTGGTATCTTTCATAGAGTAAGTCCAGCAGGGACTGCTCTCCCGTTGACTCAGAGTACTCTTCTCATTCTGGTGGAGTACCAGAGTTGATGAGAGAGCACTCGGAGTTTGATTTATTGTGTCTGAGCAGACATGACAAATTGACCTCCGGTCGTAAATCCACCATCTAGTGTAGACAACTCCTAATAGCCATTTATGGACCTATCCCCCATGAAGTTATGCAATTATTTTTGAATGTTGTTATACTTTTGGCCTTTACAACACCCCTTTGCAATGCATTCCCCAGGCTCACTGTGCATTGTATGAAGCACTTCCTTATGCAGGACTTAATTTGTGCCAGGGCTGAGCCCTTGTCTCTGAACTGCCAAGCATTGATGTGCCTGTGACTTCTGAGCTTGCTGTGTCAGTTATGAAAGAACAAAATTTGCTTGAGCCCTGGCACCGCTTCTATTGCCAATTAAGCATGTTCTTGTGTTCATTTTCAATTTGTCTTTTATCTGAGCTTCTCAGTGCACTTTACAAACACTGGTTAAGCCTCACGCTACCTGTGCAATGGATGTAATGGTTGGGACCACAAGCTTTCTGAGGATGCAGTAAGGTGGAACAAGCCGGACACGCCCAGCATCCCGATGTGCTGCCTCTAATCCATTCACAAAATGGTGCTAAGTCCATCATGGGCAGCCCTTCACTCATTCCTCCTTGAATTCTCCTTTCCATTTTTCAGCTGCTCGATGCCAGTTGCTATTGTCGCTGCATGCGTCTTCGGCTCCTCTGCAGAGTGAAAGAAACCTCGTGTGTGCATTCTGTGCAGTGCTTGTTTGTTACATGCAGAAGACCCGCAGTTCCTAAAATCTAACAGATGACCATCTGTGGTCCCTATTATTCTCAGTGCAGTTGCACGTGGTGAAGACGGACGCAGACAGAAATAACATTTCTGCTAGAACTTCTTGATATTGTGCAGCAGAAGGTCAACTCTCTAATGCTGTCATTAAACTAAGATGCAAGAAGGAAGTGAAACCCCAAAGGACCTGCACTGCCTAGACTTTCTTCACTTCCACCACTGGTGCCGCATTGTTTCCCAGGGCTCAGCATGGCTAATGGAGAAATGACACTTTCAGCTTTGAACACCGACGCGCTTCTGAATAACAGTTCTCATGTGACTGTGAGTGTAAGGGTTTTCCACAATCGTGGATTAGTGTTCTAGGCGCATGCCCTGTGTCTATATTAATCTTGTTAATGCAACAGTTTTCTGGAGGGATCAAATGCATTTTTTTAATCTTGCTAGATATTGTGTAGTTGGTTAAAAATTACTATTTTGCTAATGTTTGTAATGAAAAAATTAAACCTGGCTTAGCCTGTGGGCATACTTGTTTCCTTTTTGATAGTATTGATGCAACTTTACATAATTACAGGGCACTTTATACAATCAGATCAGTCCCAGGGAACCAAAGGGTTGGTGTTTTTCCTGTTTCAAAGATGAAATGATTTTAATATTTAAGAAAACAGTTTACCAACTTGAGGTCCCCTCATCAATGGGAAATGCAATTCACAGATCAAAGAGGGCCCTGTCTCATGTGGTGTTTTATTTTAATTTGGGTGAGCTGGAGAAAGGACAAAGGGCACTGCAGTCAATGGGCTTTTTTCTATTGACTGCACTCAGCTTTGGATCAGGCCCTTAGTTGATCTTACTAGGGATCTGCACACTCAGGAGTTTGTGTAGGCCTAGACTATCACATAAAGTAGGGGCCTCTTGCATCTCCCATTAAGTTCCCTGGGAATCACTCTCCCATTCTCTTCTATTTCAGGGACTCCCTGCAACTCTTCACAATCTCCCCCTGCTACTGGTTCTTAGGGTTGCCAGAGTGCAAAGTGACACAGCAATAAGCACAGGCAGAGCAATGCATAAGAGAGTAACAGGAACTTAGAAATGCTAACGTCCCTTCAGGCTGTGGGGTGTCCCTTTCCTGTCACTTTGCACCAGGCCTTAGTGGACGTGGCTCCAGCTGGGGAATTCAGGGCACCCTCTGAGTTCTAGGTCCCTATTCCAGCCTTTTCTTCCTTCTGTTACTTCTGATGGGCTGTGTCTAGACTGGCAAGTTATTCCGGAAAATCAGCCGCTTTTCCGGATAAACTTGCCAGCTGTCTACACTGGCCGCTTGAATTTCCGCAAAAGCACTGACTTCCTACTGTAAGAAATCAGTGCTTTTTGCAGAAATACTATGCTGCTCCCGTTCGGGCAAAAGGGCCAGTGTAGACAGCTGAGATTTGTTTTGCGCAAAAAAGCCCCGATCGCTAAAAGTGCTTTTGCGGAAAAGTGTCCGTGCCAATCTAGACGCTCTTTACCTAGAATGCTTTTAACAGAAAACTTTTCCATTAAAAGCATTTCCGGAAAATCATGCCAGTCTAGACGTAGCCCAGTTGTTTACCAGGTGTGCATGTACCTGGCTCAACAACATTCTTATCACTTTCATGAGCTGAGACCTAGGTCAAACTTGTTTACTGATCAGTAGTTTCCCAGCTCAAGGCATGGGTTAAAGCCGATAAAGCCCAGTTTCTGTTTGCGCTTACAGGGTCCCAAGCTATGCTAAACTGTATACTACAAGGATGGAAAATTCCATCCTAGCCTGCTGAGCTGCAGGCCTCACATGACTTTTTATGTGACAGCCTCCTTGTCAAAGATTCTGTATATGCCCTCCCCCCATGCTAGGGTCTCCTGTTCTTCCTCCCATAGCAGCAGCTGTGCCCACTCCCCTGAGATAGGAGTTTTGAAGTAAGGCAGGCTGGAATCCAGGAACTCCAATGAGTTCAGAAGTGTGATTCAAATGTAGCCTTCATGGAGTGTGAGATTACATCGTAGGTTAAGGCATTCTGCCTGCATGTTGAGTTCACTGAAATGTATGGAGGGGGCTAATGTATTAGCCTGCGATCAACAACTGGAGCAATTTCACAGGTATCTGTACAGTGACTCTGGGTTGTTTAGGGTGCGATTCCTATTTCCCCCCTCCCCCACCATGAGGTTAGAAAGCATATCTGACGGAGCATGAAGCTGTAGAAGGGATTGGAAAAAGCTGGAGTGTTAACACAGGCAAAATAGCAGATCAGAGAAAAATAATGAAGGGAAACAAGAAAGTGACCACACGGCTGGAGAAATTCTCACATGGACACCATTTCCATTCCCACTCTACTCATCTGTGTAGTTCCTTCCTGTGTTACCTTAATCTCTCCAGATACTATTTATGGCACATCTCACCTTCTCTCCCTTATCAATAGGTGACTTGCAGCCAGTGGAAATAGTCACATGAGCAAGGAGAGTAGTGTTTGGCCCATAAAATATGATTCATTTTTGCTACAAAGAGTAAATTCAGACAACGAAATTTTTATTATAGGCGATGTCTAGGAATGTGAAAGGTTAAGCTGTTACCCGGTAAGCATGCCTGGATAATCAGTTAACTGGTGGGCCTGGCTGGAGCAACCATACCCCCACCTGCACCGCAGTGTGGTGGGCTCAGCCTGGTCTGGATGGTACAGCAAGCTTGGCCCAGCCTGGTTGGAGGGGGATGTTTCAGCCCAGCTGGAGGTGGGTGATCTAGACCAGTCGGGTCCACTAGGCTGTGGGCAGGGGGCCGCTCCAGCCTGGCTGAGCTGGAGTGACAACTTTGCTACTGTTAACTGGTTCAACACTTTGCTTAACTGGTCAACCACCTAACCGGGATTTTATAGCCCTAGTGCCTCCAGTAGGAAACTGTATCTTGCTGTTAAATACACCAGTCGCGAGTGCAGGAAGGGACGACGAATGTTTAAAAACTTAGCTGGTCAGTTTTTCCCACTTCCACCCAGCAATCTTGTTACTTTGTCACAGTTAACGCCAGAGAGGACCTGGGCTAACATGATTTTAAATCAGCTAAAATCAGCTAACATGATTTTAAACATGCCTTTCCCCTGTCTACACTAGGTACTAATTCATGTTTATAGTATCATGTTTTAAATCAGTTAGCTGGTCATACATAGTTAACCTTGGAAAGATACCCTAGGCTTCATCACAACCAGCGAGCCTGTTCTTAAACACAACTTTCTTTACACGAAAGACAAAATCACGCTTAACACCGAGGGAGCCAAGTAACGTGTTTTCTAACAGGCTGCACTTCCCAAGTGTACCCAAAGCCTCCGGGAATAGATTCCAATCGGACAGGTGCCGCTAGGTGGTACTGCAGGGCATGGGCGGAAGGCAGGAAGAGAAAAGTGTCATCTGCCCTGGAGGAACCTGTTTAATCTATCACATTCCTGTTGGACAGGTCGCCATGTAAGATACAAACAGACTAAGGGCTTGTCTACACTTACAGCAGTGCAGCTGCACCACTGTGGTGCTTAGTGAAAATGGATCCTACTCCAAGGGGAGCAGGTCTCCCATCCGTGTAGTTAATCCACCTCCTTGAGGGCTGTATCAAAGGGACAGTTTTCCCCTTGATGTAACACTGTCTATACCAGGAGTTTGGTCCACTCAGTATCACTAAGCAAACAGTAGTTCTGGTAAGTTGGTAGCCTAGACCACAGCTAGTAAGCAATGGCGTGGGGCCCCAAGCAGGTGGAAGGGCCTCCCCTGAGCATTCTCGCCCCCAAACAGCAATCAGCTCCGTTCATGACGGCCTTTGAACCCCTGGCGTGGGATGGAGCGCGCCTGGCGTGGGACGGGTGGAGTTGGTGGAAACAATGCAATCGGTGGTTTTTAAGCAGGAGGCAAAAATATTCTCGCTGAGGGCCCCAGTTCACCCTGCCCGACCCCAAGCCGAAAGTGACCCACTGGGCCCGAACTTTGGGGGCAAGGCTCCAGAAAAACTTTGTGGCTTCGGATCCCTCCAGCCCCCCGGGGATATTTGCGCTCCCTCCCCCATCCTGCCCACGGTGGGGGGATGCAATCGGTGGTTTTTAAGCAGGAGGCAAAAATATTCTCGCTGAGGGCCCCAGTTCACCCTGCCCGACCCCAAGCCGAAAGTGACCCACTGGGCCCGAACTTTGGGGGCAAGGCTCCAGAAAAACTTTGTGGCTTCGGATCCCTCCAGCCCCCCGGGGATATTTGCGCTCCCTCCCCCATCCTGCCCACGGTGGGGGGCTGCGCGGACCCA